CAAGGACTCGAACAAGTCTGAGAAGAACAGTGCCACGCCTAAGAAGAGGAATCCAGGGAGAAAAGCTAGATCTCGAGAAGCATATGTCGATGATGGCACGCCACCCGAAAGTCAAAAGCAAAATCAAAACCAAAACATCGAGCAACAGCAACAGCAGCAGCAGGGGTTCGTGTTTCCACAACAAAATCTTCCTCCACCACCTCCCGGTCCTCAAGCCACCGAGATGCAGCCTTCCGCACAGCCTCTACCCACGAGCCAAACAGAATTTAGTAACGCGTTAAGTCTGGCGCAACAGCCGCAGCCGATCTATCAACATCCGGGATTGGCCATTGTGCAGAATTGGCCATTAGATTTAGTGCAAGGCAGTCATCATTATCCACAAGTTTGTCTTTGCTTATGAAATATAAATGCGATGAACATGTAATAAAAATTGCAAGTGCGCAACATGATAAATTGTATTGCACACAGGGGCAACCGCATCCGATAGCTCACGAGCAGCCACCGCCGCAGCAGCAGTTGCAAGAGCTGCACACGCAACAGGAGCAGCAACATATGCACGCCCAATCGCGATTACAAGATCAATCGCATCAGCAGAATACTCAGCCTCATCATCACAATCTCGATCAGCAGCAGCAGCAGCAGCAGCTGTCGATGGAACATCAGGTTCAACAGCAATGCATGCAGTCGAGTTTACCTAGTCCCGAACAAACGCATGTAAATATAGGATCGGATAGTTCAAACTCTTGTAGTTCCAACGAGAATAGTCAATCGTCCTGCGAGCCTCAACAAAAGACAGAGTCGTCGAGGGAAAGTGGTGAGAAATCGGAATGGCATAAGAAAAAAAAGGGCGGCAAGGCGAAAGGAACGTTAGAGACCAGTGTGGAGATTAGGAATCGCATGATCGGAATGTCCGAGGCCGGATTATCCACTCTGTCCATCGCGCTGGCAATCGATAGATCGGTATGTAAAAACATCTTGTTTGCTTTATGTTCGCTTTAAATTTTAATATTAGATCTCGGAAAAGTTGCATCACGTGAATACATATGAAAGTTGTGCTACAAATTTCGAGAGAGTTAACGCAGGAGATTTTACATGGACGTGATTTTGAATTAATCAGGAACGTACTGTTAAAAGATGGTTAGAACGTTGGCATAAGGAAGGCAATGTGCAAACGAAGGAGCGAAAGGGCCGACGTCGAATTACTACCAAGGAACAGGACGATGCTATCGTCGCGATGGCGACTCAACACCCGCTCACCGCGGCTAAATACGTAGCACCCGCGCTGGGTCTAAAGTGCAGCGTGGATACAATTAGAGAGAGGCTTCATAAGGCTGGAATACATAGCTGGAAGTTAGGCAAAAAGCAAGGGTTAGATGAATCATATATTTCTACATCTTTTCGATGCAAAACACTTGCGAAATTTTTTCAAGAAAAATTAAGCTACAGATATCTCGAGAAATTTTCGATTAAAATATTTTCCCAATTCTAGAACAATTTTTGTAGTATAATCAGAAAACACCAAACATGTGGAATATGTAGAATTAATATACTTTTTTAGAGAAGGAAATGCAGTCCATACAGTTCATTTATGGCAGCCGAGTGGCAATCGTCCTAATAAGCCGAAAATGGCAGGTGAGAAGAGAAAGAAAGTTCCGGCAATAAGAAGCGCGATCCGACAATGAACATTCAGAAACGCATCGCGCGAAAGAAAAAGAACGACGAACCAGCGCCGCTAAAAGCAACTCCACCTCCGACGAATATGATGCCGGAACAGTCCGCATTGCCGTTCCATAATCCAGGAACTAGTAAGTATCGAAGAATCGTGATAATAAAATTTTATAAAACGACATTGATCAAAGATTTATTTCTTTACTGGAGAAAAAAAATTAATTACCTTTGAAACCTCTCCTCAGTGGCGAATTACGCTTCAGCCTCTAATATAATGCAACCAGTGCATAATATCGCCGTACCACCACCCGCACTTCCACAACCGCAACCACCTCCTCCACCGGCGCCACAGTCGATGCAACCAATGGGTCCGTTAATGCAACAGAGGCCGGACTGCAGACTAGCGCCGATAATTCCGCCCGTATCGGGCCCGGGCAATCCCGGCATCGCCTATCCGTCATGCATGATCGGTGGGAACAGTCACACGGGTCACATGGAGCAAACGGACCCTCTAAATTATGAGCCATACATTTGGAGTTTTAATATCGACACGACAATCTAAATCGCGCGTGTAGAACTGAATGGAAAGGGAGTTTAACTGTATTAGATAAACTTCCGCGCATTTACCAGGATTTCGTACAAATTTTATTTGTATACAAAAAATTCTACAGTCGGAAACGTTATAGGACAGTAATTTTAGTTTATGTAAGAAAAGTAAGACTCAATGGATTCAACAAATTTATAACTTATCAGGACTAATGAATCACAGGCTAATTGTTCGTGAAAATATTATATCTTACTTGTAATCGATATAGTAACACATTTCGATCTGTATTAGGTTATCCCAATTTCTGTGGCTTCTGTATTTCAGTGCATACGATTTTTGTTTTTAATGCGTTAATTGTAACACTTTTACTGAAAATAATTTAATACAGGTTGGAACGTTTGTTATATCGGTTATAAGTATATAATACTTTCAGCACGGACAATCAACCTGATTCATTAGCCCTGATAAACTATAAATTTTACGTTACGACTTTTGTGTACAATTTAACTTATTAAAATTGCAATTGAAAAATATATTTATATATGTGCAAGAAAAAAACGCGGCAACTTTATCGTTATATCTGAGAAAAATTATAACTTTAAAGACTTACGGTGCACGCAGCGTTTAGTCATAATTAGCTATAATTGATTAGACCAGCAAATCAACGTGAAGACTACAGCATGTAAATATAGAGTCGTAAATATAGAGTAGCGGAGACGTATATCATCTTTATTTTGCTATGATATATCATCTCTTTAAATATCGTATAAAGTCGCAATTACAATTTATATTGTATATTAAAAATTGATTTTCATACAACACGACGAGATTTCTTTAAATCAAAATCTAGCATTTGTGTTGCATTTATGTTTTATGGTTGAAAGGAAACAAAATTTTTCAAACTTCGGCAAAAAATAGTATCAGCTGATTAAACATATAAACTATTAATAGCTATGTGGAACATAGAGCCCAAAAAACTTTTAGCAAATTCAGTGATGGTTCTATTTTCGATATATAGATTTTTTTCTCATGAGAGCATACTGTATACATTCTGTAATGTGTTTCATTATTACATATATGAATTTGCTTTGAAACTTATAGTACAAAAATTGGCATGCTCCAGTTAGAAAAGATTATAGTAAATCAACTTTAAACAGGCTGCCAAAATAATTACATTTAAACTGCCTTTTCTATCCTACTCACATACAAGTACATCACATGTATATCATTTTTTTCAAACAATGAATGCAGTGTTATCGTTACACTATTGTAAGACTGTTATTGTTTTATATACATCAATTTTTCTTTTAAACGTAGCACTTTGGCTAATAATTAATGTTTATATTGTAAAAAATGAGTTTTTGTCACAATGTTCTTATAAAATTCTTCTTTTTAAACAAAGTATTCATATAGTTCGTCCATATACAATTACCGGTGGTACAAATGCGAAGTAGTGCACTAAGTACGCGAAAAGTATAAGATATTGTAGGAAAATTTTGTCGGATATTTTAAATGTCCATTTCCACTTTGCATTGATATTGAAATAGTAGAGTATTATGTACTCACATCCTTATGAATGAATGTATTGTGTTATATTTTACAACATGTGACAATATCAACAATACATTGCAGAATTAATATATTTTCAACCATATTTCCATAAAAATCCACTTCGTTTTGTATTTGTTTTGTAAAGGAAAATAAAGATAATTATAGTACTTACACTGTATTATGGGCTGATTTTTTTTAAGAATAGTAAAATATTCAGATGACAGGATATATATATATCAGTCTCTATTGCATGACCATCAATAGTTTTACTCGAAATTATAACTACAGTTTCATCTTTTATCACGTGATTTCCCAGATTTGTGCAACGTTATTTATGACTGCATCGGGATTATTTTTGTGAAACATGAAATATCCTTGAATCTGTGCTGGACTGACGTCCCTCTTAAAAGACACAACACTGTCTGCGAATTTCTTTGCAAGTTCTCCAGGATGCTTGTCCGGTTCCTTATAAAATCTTAGAAACATTTGCTCAACCTGACTCGTGCTGCACCATCCTGAGAAAATGTAAAATTATCAAAATACCCAAGTTTCTGAATTTCCTAATTATGGTTTTTAATTTCTAAATTTTTTGCGCATACCAATGTATTCTTTGACATCGACTCTGCCCGGCCTAACGAGTGCAGGATCTAATCTGTCCAAGTAATTGGTCGTCATAAATAATATTCTAGCTTCTGTAGAAGCTACGCCATCCAGACAATTCAATAGACCGCTAAATGTTACTCTATTGAGGCCATCGTACGCTGCTTTAACTAAAGTGAAAAAAAGTTAAAAGTATACATTAAAATAATACAAATAATTTATTCTCTAATCTTACGTCATATATTTTAAAGATTTTAAATACCTTGTTTAGATTCTTCTCTACTGGTAAAAGCGGCGTCAATATCCTCGAGCAAGATGATAGTCTGCTGTGGAGCTACTGCTAATAAATGATTCAATCTATCATCCGTCAGACCTCTCTCGGATAAATTTAAAACGCATATACCGCGTTCCAATTCTCCAGCCAACGCGGTGATATATGATGACTTTCCGCACCCTGGAGGTCCGTGTAGCAAGTAACCCCGGCGATACGGAATGCCTAGAAAAATTATAATTTCTAAGAAGTGAATGCAGCAATTGTCTAATTTTTATTCGCTAACAAACTAAATTATTTATAATTCAAGTAGTACATGCATGGATAGTTGATACCTCTTTCGCTATACCATGAAGGATTATTGATAAACTCTTGACAATCGTTTATTATTCTCTCGGAAACACCGGTGTCCAAAACAACCGATTCCAGTGGTCTTCTTTTCCTGGCATGTCCAAATTGCCGCCACTCACTTCCCATGGCAGTGTACGTTATCGTCTTTCCCTCATGCTCCTTTAAAGCCATTTGTCTGGCTATATGAATGAAGAATTACTTCTGATTTCCGGATGTTACATAACACGTCTAAATATTTGTAAGAACTCAACCTTCTTCAAGAATATTAAAATATATGCTTCTATCTTTGCCAAACGCTGTCAGCTGCACAGTTTCCCACGGTATACCCATGTGTAAATCTAAAGTCTGTTGCTCCCTTGTTCTTTCAACCTTTATCCAATTCCCCTTATATCTGTAGAAATCAAGAAATGTGCAAAACATTAAAATTACTTGTAAAAATTGAATTTTTAATCAAAATAAAGATCAATATATTTTATAATACATTTTAATAAAGAAGAGATAACAAAACATATCTAAAATGTGTCTGACCTGAAAAAATGAGTTCCTATACTTGGAATAAAATCATATTTAGTTTTTACATGACCAGTTTCTTTCTGTTCAAAACTAGTTTCCACAGAAAGGTGTTGTGTTTTTCTGGCACCTTTGTGTGTGATCCATTGCAGAAGCCACTGATAACTTTTATCACGGCATGGTACTTCCAGAGTGATCATATAATGCCGTCTATGAATGAAAAATCATGTTAATAGTATGTTCTACAAAATAGTCAACGTATTCAACGCGATACCTGAATAACACAGCTCCAAACTGTGTGCCTTTTCTTAATAAAGCAGCTGCAGCTCCAAGGCCAAAAAGACCAAAACCAGCTCCAAAATAAGGATTATCGGATAAAGTTTGTATGTATTCAATAAATGTCATGATGCCAATTGATAGTGCACAGTTTGCATAAATAGTAATAGAATTTACTGTGTATCAAATAACAAGTAACAATATTTCACAAGTTTTCTCTGTGTTACAATATTTTACAAGCTTCTTTGCAAACTTATTAAATTCAATTTTCTAATTTTAATGATCACTGTACAGTTATATAAACTGGAATAAAGTAGCTGAGTTGGACTAACCACAATGAGAGGTTATGCACAAGCTACCAACATTCAATTAATAACGAAAAGAGACTGACATTTAATAATATTTGAACAAGTGTATTTTATAAAAATAATGTACGCAACATTCCTCGCAGTACTTCCATGTCGGTTTGACAAAAAGATAAAAACCTATTATCGCATAAACTGCATTTGAAAATTGCAGCACACTTTGCGGATGACATTTGGAGATGTTTTTATCGATATTTCACAATGATCAAATATTCGATATTTTTCGATTTTAATTTCTTGTGTATAACTTTTTATTGTAAAAGAAACCTAAGAAAAATATTATAATAAAGGGTTTTCAAAGCTTTTATTAAAAATTGGACTTATTCGATATTGATTATTTATTCGATATCGATATGAATACTTCTTAAATTGATGATATTCATATTTTTTTACAACATTTTTACAACGTTTCATATTAATCTTGCCGATAATGCAAAAATCCTTATTTTATATATTTTAGCAAAGGCACATATCAATTACAGTTATTTCTCTTTCAAAGAACATTGTTGTCAGAACTAAGTTGTTAGATTCTCAAAACATTAATTAATTGTCTGCCTCCAAAGTATGTAAGGCAAACGCACATCTCTCAACAAATTGTAATAATATTAAGGTTGATACATTCGTACTTCGAAAATATAAAATATGCAGCAATAAGGGATGTTTAGAAAAAATTAATTTCCACTTCTGTTACAAATGATTATATTTTACTTTATATTACAAAAGAATCCCTACTACGTATAGTGTACCATTGTTTAATAACGTCAACTCCAGGTACCACGAGTGTGGTTTGAATATCTTGTCCTCTTCTTTTGTTCTTTTTTTATACTTTTTTTCGGTTCTTTTTTTTAAATACTCTCTTGCAAATAATGTCACTGAACATCTACTTAACCGCTACTTCTGATTTAATTTAACACTGGCATTCCTGCTCCGATTAATTCTCAATAAAACGTACGAGAAAAATCACGAAGTTGCTATGAACGGTGGCTGGTTCTGGGGTTTTCTTTCCTAAACGTTAACGATTAATGATCTATAATAACTACGGAGAAAATATAATATATATATATGCTCGTTGACGTACAATATATATGTATAAATCCTTCGTTATAATCTCCGCTCTGTTGGTACATTTTACATAATGTATCATTAATGCCATAACGCTAGAGTGCATTTACAGTATGTACAATGTTCTGGGTCCATGCTCGAATGCGAGGCAACGCCAAGCTGCCGGATTTGGAGATTTTCTTTTTTCAATTGAGAGAACAGTGTAAATACTGAACTTATAAGTAACTCATCAAATCGGTTTCTCTCTACGCTAGACGATACAATTATCCAATACGTATGTATATATACATTAAATAAAGGAATCGTAATGCAAGTCCATATAAGTATTATACAATTGAAATTACAATTAACTTAGGAAAACCAATTGCAACTCATCTTCAGTGGAATATAAAATTAATTGAGCTATATGTGTATATTGTAATTAACTAATATCTACGATCAGCAAAACGCAGTGCAAAAATCGATACTTTCTCGTAACTTGATTCAAAGAATACTTGAACATCTCTAAAATGTATCTCATGTGTTTCTTTAAAAAAAGCCTCGCCTTGCATCTACTTGGCGCAAGACTCCGCCGAGTCTTTTGATTCAAGAAAAAATTGCACAAACGTTAAGTAGACCATATTAACAATCATGCCTGTACAAATACAATTGGCACAACAAAATATACAGAATATTATTCAATGACAAATTTGCAAAAATGCTCAACAATGTTGCCCAGTCTGTGTGTCAGTTATTACGAAGGAATACAATTACAAGTTTTTTAATAATGCACGATGTCTCGAATGAAGTGTTAAAATATCTCGTATAAGCGCAACATGGACCCGGTTAAAGTGCAACACATCCAACGTTGTCGGGACGTCTTACACGCATCATTACGTCGAAAGTAATCTCCCCGAGTCCTCCTAGAGATAATAATTCCAGCACACATTACGCAGTCAATTAATCTCTTAGCCTACGCCGTTACAGCTAATCGAACTCGTTACTCGAGTCCCGTTCTTTTTTTCTTCAATTTACTCCTAATCTCACGAATCGTGATCTAAGCGCACCACCGTTGGGAAGTTCACCGGACGGGACGCAATGAGAGCTTTTGTGGAAGCCTTGAGCAAATCTGTCCGCCGTTTCGGTCCTGTTTCATCAATCCTCGGCGGACAGATCCTGATATTATTGTTCGCGATGTATTCTCTTCTTCTTTTCTTTTTTATTTTATGTAATTTGGATAAGTTATTTTATTTGGTCTCTCTTTCTCTCTCTCTCTCTCTCTTTCTCTCTTTCAAACTCGCTCCATTTCTTTCTCTCTAGCTTATAATCTTAAATAGGTACTCGATAATGTATAATTTGATACGCAGATTGCATACGCTTTGATCCTTCTCAAGAAATACGGTTCGTATAGAAATGTTACGAGAGATGTAGATTAGCCAGATACTGAAATCATTAATGTAGATAATAAATAATCGCTTGAAATTTATAATACACGGAGGGTAAAAATTTTCAAGAGTAAAACAGCAAAGAATCCTCTTCTGAAAGAGAATTCAGAACAATAGCTGGCGAGATAGCGTTAACAGTTCGCAGAGTTCAATACGCAACTCTTGATGACGCGAAGGAACTTTACGAAGGACGCTAAATGTACAGAAGAGCCCATATTGGGCCCTTGAAAGGACAGAATTATTTTTGGCAAAAGTTGTCGAAGTTATGCGCTTCCGCGACTGGTCGCTCGCATTTAATTCGCCAATTTTAACGATACTTCGGAAACTGTGCCTCATTATCGCAATTCTTTCACAAATGAATTAACAGAAAGAATATGCTAACATAGAAACTTTAACAAGTATCACCCGTCTCATCGACGGAATAATTTTTCTGTTTCTAAAAATTTATTATAGAATGTTATTTGATTCTTACTGTTACAAAATAGCGATAATTATGCGCAATTTCTAAATTACATTTAGATTTTATTACAATTTGCGACACAGATTTTTTATGTTCTAATATTTTTGTTACTAACATTTCCAATCGCGCGAAGCGGTGCGGACGGCTAGGTAGAGTCGAGGACGAAATTTCTCGTGAAAAATAGTGAGGATAGCTTCTCGAGAAACAGAAGAATTTTTCTTTTTGTCCGGCTCGTTCCCGACGGTGGTGCGAGGCGAGAAGGGAAGGGACGGTGGTCTGAGACTGGCTCGGTTTATGGACACAAATTAGCCCGACCTGTGTCTAACTAAGCGTGCACGAATACCACGAAAATCCTTCTTTACTTTTGCTCTTGAAAATTCATACTTAAGATCACTGGAGTAGAATTAATTCAGTATCGCAATAAAATAGCATGATTGAACAAACGTTTTTCTTTCACTATTTATATGTATTATAATTGATTCTAAAATTTACAAAAAGATAGAGAATTATTAAGTAGGATTGACGGAGTTATAATAAAAAAGCTAGGAACTCATTAATGCCGCTGACTGTTGATAAATTAATAGCTACTGTGTTAACCTGCGTTGCATTATTTGACAAAGATATACAAATAAATCAAATTCTATATAAGAAATAAACCGTGAACGAAATAAAGGCCTAAAAAAAGGTCTTTATTCCGAACATGGACAAAACGTGATTGAAAGTTGTATAAAATAAGATCTCTCCATTCGCGACACACGTCGTAGACACAGGCGCAATAATTACACGATGTAAATATAATATAATAGTGACAACTGATCAATCGATTGATAAATCGATGAACGATTGATAAATTCTCTTTAGATATTTGTCTTATTGCGACGAAGCCAATAGACAATAGACAATAGCTATAATAATAATACAATTGATAATAATAATAAACATAATAAGAACGATAGCCATAATAACAAATTTGATTGAAGACAATTCGTGACATCATTAATCAAGTTATATATACATATAAATTTACATGCAGGATGCTCTATTATACTCAGTGTACTTCAATTCTAATATATCTCACAAAATATTAATATTTATAATAACAATATAATAATAATATTTAAAATATTCGTGAAATCTGATCAACATTGCTTGAAAGTTTTGTAATCATCAAAAATCAAGTTGCATAGTTGAGTATTTTAATTGCAATAACTCTTTGCACACACAAGTGCAAAATTCAAATATTATATAAATATATAATTTTACAATTAATAGAAACAGGTGTGTGATGTATCTACAGAGAATATTAGAGTAAATGAGCATCCTGCAAAATGCACTAAGAACACACTCATCATTATTATGCGATTACAAAGATACGAGACGAACAAATAATCAATAACTGTAATCAGTATTTTTTTTCGTGCGCTCTTTTAAAAGACCTTTTTGGTGCATAATTTCGTCAAATAAGGTCAGCGATTATTATGCGTCAATAAAGTATTGAAAGTGCCTTAGAAAGCGTTTTGATATAGTAAAAAACACATGTAGAGATATAAATAAATATAACAAATAATATGAAACCTGCATTGAGTAAGCTGCATCGAGTAAAATAATTAACTGTAATAAACAATAAATATAGATTCAACAAGCTGCCAAGATGCCAATGTAAATGATCTAAAGCCCTCTCTTAGGCCGCTTTTTAAAGTAAAATTGGATAAAAATACGAAGTATAATACATTGCAAGTTCTATGGTTAATAATAAAACTGTGAAAATGCATAATTTTCAATAGTAAAGCATTAGATACATGAAAACTGGAACAACCGATCCTGCGCTCGAAAGTAAAACAAAAATAAAGTTTTGGCTTAAAATTTGTATGATTTATTTTAAATGCAATTTTAGAATATCGAAACAAATATTTTTTTAGCTTTTCATAATATGTACAATTTCTTTTTGAGCACAGAAAGGCATTGGTTATTCCAATTCCAGCATATAGAAATATTTCTGCGACAACGCGTATTAATTGAAAAAACAGATTTTCACAAATAAATTATCGACCGAAATAAGTCAATTTAGATGGACTATCAATGCATCCGAATGTTTTGCAGTCTGTGGCGGGTGACCTGACATGTACTACTTGGAAGGAAGGTCTCTAATAATGTGTTTTTGTATACTGCTACCGTTTAAAATTTTTGAGTCTACTTGTCTATAATACTCAAATTCCGCTACTTTGATTACAAACGCTACCGGTCACGCGCAATGTATTAATATTGTCTCTATGGTATGTAATGTAAAATTCGTCGTCTTTCGTTATCTACCTATAAATGATAAACATTCCTTTCACCATACGTTCCTCCTTTTAACACGTGTCAAAGTGTTTTTATCTGACGAAAACGTTCCGGAGTTAATTATTATTATGCTACATACGAAGTATCAACGAAATATTCTTCAAGTCGTTAGAATACAAAAAGCGTTAATAAATAAGCGTGCTGAAGTAGTAAAAGAGCTGAATAAATCCGTCATTTACAACGTATGAATGTTGACTCTGTACAATTAAAAACAATCGACGGAACGTCCACGTTAATCTAGCGCACTTGACAATTTAACACGGCTAACGCGCATTGTCGTAGAATTCACATTGAATTCAAATTCGAAGCCCCGCGTAACAGCGACGCTTCCTAAACGAAAATGTAGTCTCCTACACTCCTTAAATTTCTCTACTAACAATAGTGGTAACGCAAGGCAGAGCTCCCCGAAGAGACTCTATGATATGGAGCAAAATCTGTACGGTATGAAACTGAACATTTTCGAAGCCTTGAAAAACGCAGCCCTTACTTCTCGTTCACCGAGCGCGATTCTCTCCCGTATTAGTGAGGACGGCGTCATCGTTTCCTTTTCTTCATTTTTCACTCGTCGTGTCCGTCCATCTCTTTTGTAAAAATACGCTCCGCGGAATCGTCACCGCGACGAAACGATGAACCGGTGTACCGAAACCGCGGACTGAGTCTCGCCCTAACGGAGAAGTCAATTGTATATGGACTATCACTAGGGTCTTCCAGCCCCGCAAAACGGGCCCGGCAACGAACAGTAGAAAAATTTTCGAAAAGGTTCTCAAAATCCTTGCTCCTCTCAGAATATCTTACTCCACATCTTCATCATTTTCTAGAAGAAATCTCTGCCTAAGGGACGGTTCGTCTGTTGTGACAGTCGCGGCCTACCGCGTCCGTTCGCGCCGGCGGCGTGTCGCCTGGTGTTGCGCAGCTCCCGATCGACCTCGAGCTCCTCCAGCTTCATCGTGAGGCCGAGCTTCTGCTGCACCGCCAGGCGCAGCAGCTGGTTCAGCGTCTTCCGGTCGTCCTCCGCTACGGCGAGCTGCCGCTGAAGCTCGTCCACTTGTGTCACGTACTCTTCGCAGCGTGCGGCAAACATTGCACGCAGACCTGGAGAGCGTATGGTTAGCAGGGTTTAACACAATGTAGAGATAAGCGAACGAGGAACGCACAAAATTACAGGCGTATCAAAATTTACTGCGAAAAACCGCAAGCGAAAACCACAGGTTTTGCGATAAAACGAAATGTACTTTTACATTTAATATACATATTATTGCATCTATAATAATTAAGTACATTAACCCTTTCAGGACGGGTTTAAAAAAAAAATTTGTATTCGAAATGATGATTTTAGTAAATAACAATGCACTACAAGTTTGTTTTTGTGTGATAAACCTCAAAACAATCACTTACACAGAGCCCGACGTTACAATTAAAAGACATGATGTCGAACTCTTTTCAGCAATCGTAGAAATAAATTTTTTCTTTTCTTTACTATTCTCTATAAAATTTTTATCTTTTCTCAACAATAACAATAAATTAAGAAAAATTTTTTGAATTCTATTAAATGACTGTATAAGCGAACGCGACCCTAAAAATTCGAAAATTGCAAGTATGATGGAAATGGATGATGACACACATCAAAATGTAAAGCCTAAAATCCTGATTAAAATAATACTTTATTTATTAAAAATTAATCCGTTCTCGAGATATTCGAGTTACTATATATAGTACGCCCATCCTGAACTGGTTAAGTAAAGTAGAAGGAATATACATCCAAAAACCAGGTACATTGGCAGTTACATTACGTATGATAATGCTCGACTTAGTTACAAAATGCCAAATGTAAAAATATACGCTTGATAACTTTTTATGCAACATGATAATTATGGCACAGAATTAAAGAGTTGGACAAGTCAATCGTTGTACCCCACAGAATTAACAGCAGCGCGTTCATTAAAGCTAACAGCAACCATTTTTAGTTGATATATTAGTAGGCGTGATTAGTGGGACAAAATAGAAAAAAAATGTATTATTGAATTTCATCAATAAACTGAAGTTTGTGAAATTATTTTACAAAGATCTTGCAGTTTAGTAAAGATTCACAGTGCAAATATCATATGATTTTATCATTGTGTATATATATATATATATATATAATTTCTTTTACAAGCTGTGTTTTCTATTAAATTTAAGATATGTAATCGTACTGCAGACAGAAAAAAAGATCCCAAAATTGAATACTCACTCGAGAATGTCGCGGCATTTTCCTTCAACATTCTAAGCTCATTCCTCAGCTTGAGCATTGTCTCATTAACGATGCTCTTCTCATTCTCGTATTTACTCTTCAGATTCGTTAACGCCACTTCCGCCGTGTTTTTATTGGATTTTAGCACTGTTCTTAGTGTCGCGATCTGTTCTCGTTTAGCGGACAGCAAGGCCTTTAACCTGATAACCTGCTCTTGCAGATCCGTTACTTCCGCCTTGTTCTCATTGACAGAAGCTGATAAGGAAAAAATTAATTTCGTTATGTTATTAATAAACATTGATTATATTTATGTTATAAAATAAAAACAAGGCTTTCTTTTTAAGCGTTGAAAATGTAGAAATCCGCTTACTTTCGCAAACGTTGCAGATGTTGGACTGCATTCCTTTGACTTTGGACAGTTCGATCGTGTGCTCTACGGCGCTTCGGAGATGCTTTATTTGGTCCATCGCGGTTTCTATGTGTTTCGCAATCTCCTTTGCCTTGCTGAGACTCTCCAGGTCCTTAATTTTGATGTCCGTCTTAAAGAGAGTCCGACACCAATCCATTTTGCCGTTCTCCTCCTCCTTCTCGGGCACAATCTCCGATTTCTCGTGATCCAGCACCACCCGCGAGGGTGTCTCGCCGTTAACAGTGCACACGTGATGGTAGAGTTGCGCGAGTTCATCGGAAAGGTTCTGCAGGTCATTCTGCGCGGAATCGAGAAAGCCGCCCGCTTCCGCGGTGAGCTTCGACAGCGTTGACACATCCGATTCGAGCTGCATGCTCCTTTGTTCCGTGTCTAAGAGCTGAAATGAAGGGGGGAAAATTATGCACGCGAATAAAGGCGCGATACCGATCGCAATAAATGCATTAGGTACGTTTTCGTTTAATACTAAGTGTTTATCGGAAGTTTATTGATGAGACGTGTTTGCAAAACTCGGGTGGTATTTAGGATCGATTCTGTAGTTCTTGCTAGTATAGTAGAGACTCTCTGCGAGAGATGTATAACATGTTATAGATGATGTTTCTCTTTCTGAGTATCGTGCAAAACAGGCTCGAGTTTCGAGCAACATGCTACGTTAGATACGCACTAAGTTTACATTGAAGAAGAAGAAGAAGAAAAGAGTGATCAAGTCTGATTCTTGATTCCGAAGCGCATTCTGTTTCAAAAGCCACGGTGCATAGCGTATTACGATCCGTACGCGGATTATTTCTTTCGCTTGCTCGATTGATAATGATATTCGTTCAAATGCGCTGATGCGACGATCCACGTGTGAGAATATACAGACGCGAGTCTACGGCGTTCAGAGATACAATATTATTCTCACACGTGTACCAAACGTTCAATGGAGTGATGGTGAAATTCGTCAGTAGCTTCGGAAATATGTACGGTTAAGTTTATAAAGAAGTATCAGTCATCAGATAGGAAGCGAGATGTATGGGCTGTTAGGACACTGAGAAGCGAACTATCACTGTACGGATCATTAGAGGAGCCAACAAGACAAATTGTTATTGAAATATCTGGTAAATACGTCAAAAAGAGGGACCACACGTAACCCAACCTTTTCTCGAAGGCTCTTCTCTGACTCGGGTATCTGAAACGCCACAATTTCTATTCAAAGTCTAAATTTTGCATCAACAATTGCGCCAATATCGCACACATTTATACTCTTGCTATTAGCAAGCTCTTGTTCATTTTTCTTTACAATTTATTAACAGCTAACTTACATCATTGTCCTTTGTCGCAATGTTGCGACGACGCTGACAAACGTTTATTTTTAAGAAATCGCAATAAGATACAGATTAACGTGTACCTTGTTTCTCAGATTTGTCAGTTCCGTTCTCAGTTGCTGCGTAGAGTCAGACACGGTCAAACCGTTCTCCAATTCCGCCAGATCTTTCTGCAACTGATTGACCTCGCGAGCGGACATGGTGCTCCATTGATGATATTGTACAACGGCCTGTCCAAATAGTAAAGTATTGTAAAAGTAACGTTTAATGATAGCAAAGCAATTTGTGTCTGAAATTAGAACGCAATTTTTCTGTTAAACAAGAAGCAGGATCATGTACATAGAAATATACCTGATTGAGTTTATCCAGCGTCGTTTCTTCACTTTGCTTCTCCGGCAATTTTGAGTGAAGATGATGCAGCGATTGCACATGCGCTGCCAGCTGCACTATTCGCGCAACGAATGATTGCAATTCCGCCTGGCTCTTCTCGACCGCGTACTGCGATTCGCGCAGATTTTGCGTCAGGTGCGCCTTTTCGGTTTCCGCGAGTTCCAGTTGTTTCTCCAGTTTCTTCAATTCGTTCAGATGGATCTCAGAGAACAGGTCGACCTGCTTGTCGGTGGCGGATGTGCCTGGTTCCTGCGTCTTCAAGTCCGCTTCGATCCTACGCAGCGCAGGCGAGTCGTCTTCGCCGTCGCTGCATATCGTCTGATCTTCCGTGATGCCACGAATGGAAAGCGCGAGATTGCTGAGATTATATATCGACTCGCTGTTGATCCTCTGGTCCAGCTCCTTCTTCAGGGCGTACTTGGCCTCACGCTCGGCCTGCAGTGACTCCAAAGCCTCTTCCATCTGCTTCTCCGCTATCTTCTTCAGGTTCGTCAGTTCCTCCACTTGACTGTTCAACAACTCGACCTCCTCTGTTAATCTTCGAATCTCGTGTTTGGCACCTTCGAATTCAACTTGACTGGACCGCAAACCGGACACCTGTTTTTGCAACGAGATATTCTCGTCCTCCAGTTCGGAGTAATCCTGAAGCAGGCGAGTTTCGCGGAAGCGGCACTCTCGCAATTCCGTTCGCAGCGACTTACGTTCCGTCTCCGCCTGTTGGTGATCCTTGCCGACTTCCTCGCGCTCCTGCAGAGCGTGATCGCGCTCCGCTTGCACTCGTTCCACTTCATGACGCAACTAAAGACAATTTGCAACGTTAGGAAAACCATTTTTATTCTGAATAAATGTTGAATTGCAATTGACTTGGTGTAAACCTGTTTTGATTCAGTCTCCAATTCAATGATCTGCGATTGGAGAGACGTTTCTCGAGCAGCGCTCTCGTTGAGAAGACTCTCTTCTTGCTCGATGCCGCTTTTTGCCGTTATTTTCGTAGTCGTCTGGAACTTGGCGAGAGCCTAAAGTGACAATAAAATATGTGCTTATGTTGGAAATGAATATACATTCTTACTCCTGACAAATGATAAGAATAACTAGAATAATTATTCAAAACTTGTTACAGAATTTGCATTCCTTTTTTGAATATCACTATTGCTACTAAAAATAAATCCAATCATAAATATATTTTCCTAAAATTATAATTCTGAGTGAGAGCAAACCAAATATATATATAAGTTACCTATATGATTGAATACGCTAATGCAAACACATGACTGAATGAGTCAGTGCGTAGATTCTTCTTGTGCTCATTTAACAAATTGGTTGCAATCAAATTAATACAACTAACTCTACCTGTTCTCTTACCTGTTCTACTCCAAGAACAAACGACTAATCACTATTATTTTGCACATTTATATCTCATTTTTTATTATTTAAATCTTTATTGCGTAAACTCACTCATTCCTTATTTGTACGATTCCACGTTACTTGCTCTAAAAAAATGTTGCAAGAACAGAATAAATTTTCTTTCTCTTTCTTTCCCCTTTTAATCGGGCGTGTCTAATGACGGGGCGACCGTGCTCCAAAAAGTATGACAAGGAGTGCTAACCTCCTGCGTGATCTCCAGCTCGTGCTTCGTGTTTTCGTAGAGGGCCTCGAGGTCGTTGCATCGTTGCTGTAGGGCCGACTTCTCCTCGAGCAACGCGAGTCCGTACTGCGCCGACTGTATCTTCTCCGTGGAGGCCAAATCTAACTCACGCGACAGCCGTTCGATCTCGGTCCTCAGCTGCTCGACCACGACTCCGTCGACGGCGGCGGCCATTGCTGCTGCCTGCGTCGACTACGCTGACGACGATGACGACGGCGACGACGGCGATGCTCCTCACGTTTCCTCGGTGTCGCTACTCCTCGCTCTCACCCCCTTCTCCTTCCTCGTCACCTCCTGCACCTCGTCGTTATCGCGAGTGGAACGAATGGACGCCGGTCGCCGTGGTTGCGCGACCCGAGCGCGGATGCATCCTTCGGTAATCGTCGATCAGGCGCGGCTGAACACGTCCCGTGTTGCGTTCGTTCTCTCCACTCTTCGACGAAACTCGCGCGACTTTTCCTCTTCCACCTCTTCACATTCTACCTGCGTGCGTGGTGTGCCACCGTCGCGAGCAGCCACACTACGATTTTGACAGACGCGGCGCGACAATTCGGCCACCGGCGGAACGCGGGTGGTGGGCGGGCGGGTGAGATCACGCGAACAACCGGATGCATGTTCCGCGTTCGTGGTTCGAGCTTTAACCCGTTTCGGTATTCCGCTTGTCGCTCGCGCGCGCGCGCGCGCGTGCCAGTGCCGACGCTGAAACCGAGAGACCACTTGCCTCGATAAACTATTTTTTCCACGCTCGAGCTTGTTTTATCGCGTGGATATTCACGCTTCGATGCCGCGTGGTTATTTATATTTTTTCCTGCCGGGATACTGTCGCGCGTTTGAGTATCCATTCACTCATTTCGCTTGTTCATTCATAACGAACCAGCCGATAGCCTTCCTTTGCGATAACAGCCACATAGATAAAACAATATGTTGAGAAAATACCTGCAAACAATGAATACGCAAAGTATAGAGAGAATCGGCCATAGAATATCTGCAAAATATTTTTCACGATATTATTTTATTTTACACACGGTATTATTTTACCTACTTCTACCACATAATGTTGCAGAGTTTGTTTAAGACAAGCATGGAATTTTGTTTAGAAATTGTACAAATCTATATAATCTAACATTGACGATGATATGCAGATTGCGTAGGTCCAATTCGGAGCATGCGTGCATCGATACAATTACATAATTCTCTTCTATATAGCCAGCGATCTATACGTGCACACAGTGTATCGCCACGATCGCTGAAATCACGAAGCGTGAACTCATTGGGCGGAAACTGTGGAAAACATTCACAAAACAAATGAAGCATTGGAACGAGACGTTCGGAGAAGGAAATATTATTTACAATACCAATATTGATCTTCGCTTCCGGACATTGGAACGTGGAGCAGGATCGACGGATGTATTTGGAGAAGAGAAAAACAAGACTTATTTTTTTGCCCATTTTTCTCCGTACACATTCTATTTCAAAAATTCAGTTTAAAAACATAACTTCACAATCCTTTTTATTACTTTGTAATTTATTTCTCTTCCTTTATATCCTCCTGCTTCTTCCTTTTTTCTTTCTCTCTCACTCTCTCTCGTTTCTTTTCCTCTTTTTTTTAAGTATTAATAGATTAGTTTAATATATAAGTCGAGCCGTGGACCCGGCGTGCGCCGCCGGTCGAATTAAATTCATATACTGTAACAGTCGTATTCTTTACAATATTCGTACGTAAGTCTTGTAGCAGAGACAAAAGCGCAGGTGCCCTAATCGCACTCATTTTTTTTCTTTTAATTCTTTATAATAATTATTCGTATGCTCGTGTGATACCTCTCTCTCGTGCCACCAGCGAATCCAGACGCTGCGTCGCGGAGGGAATCGGTTATGCGTACCTAGACTGTTAATTCTTACGTGATGTAAAGTACTCGAGTTGCGTCAAATCTCTTACAAACATCCCCAGCCAGACAATACAAAAAAGACGTCTGAAAAAAAAAGGAGTCTAACTCAAAAACATCTGAGCGATTGGTGCGCACTTTTGATTCCAATTTGATTTGTCCTCTGGCGTTGGCGAGGAGCAAAGGCTCGATTGAATGAAAGCTGATCGAGGCTGCTACAAGAGAGATCCTCTTAGAGGGAGATTAAACGTAGAGAGTAGATGCACTCCAATCTCTCAGACGTCTGTTGGAGACTCGCGTTGTCCGGGAAAATACTGGACCGACGCACGTCCGCGCGGTGGTAGCACCAGGAATCGCGAAGTCCAAATATAGCGAAGTACAATTTGTTTGATCCTCTCCAAGTCTCGTCGTGAGCACTACCGAAACTACGCAATGAGATCCGGCTCTTAAAGTCCCCGAACAGTGTGTCAAGTGTATAAAATTGTCGCAGGACACCTGGGTTATTATACGATATAATAATACCCCCCGGGCGCGCCATCGCCATGCGGGGGAGAGGGCGGATGGCCCGGGCCTTTCTTCCACCGAGATAGTCAGGCACGCCTGGCTTCTGAACGTTAATACACAATTGTCGCTGCTGGTAAAAACCACTGAGCTCGCACGTATGTGCGAATCGCGCAGAGTCGGTTTCTTCGAGACGTAACATCCGCACGATCCGTCCACATGTTTATGTGTGTGTGTGTATATATATCCGTCTTTTCATTTTTTTTTTCTTTTTCGGACTTGAACTGAGACTCGCCGCCCGGCTTCCGGATTGATCGGATTGATAATGCGCGTCGCGCTGTTGCTGCTGCTGGCGTGAACATGGTCCGGTATTCTGAAAAGTAGTCGGGAATCTAATCGCGTCTTATCTCCTAATTGCGTTGCGTTTTTACTTTATGAACACTTCGCGCACCGCGACGAGTCGCGGCTCTCGCCAACGTAATTTCGTCGCGCGACTACTCGCGCTTCGCATCTTTTTGTTTCTTCTTCTTTTAGGAAAAAATCTCTCACTTTGTACTCGCATCGAGCGTAAATGGTCGTTCCCGCTTCGTGCGGCGGGGAGTTTTCTTTTTTTTTTCTTCTTTCCTACGAGTTCCGTTAATTCGTTTTTTTTTGTATTTTTTTCGACCGTATCTACAAATTTCGCTTCTACAACTTATCAGTTACACATGAGAAAAAAAGTATCGATTTCATCAGCATGTACTCTATACATGAAAAATATAATTTTTTCATGGAAATACAAAGAAGAATCGCATCATCGGAATTAGTCACCAGCAACGACCAGAGTATAAACTAGCTTTTTACAGTACAAAATACAGCTCCTGCACATATGCATAAATATATGTATACACATATGCGCATATATATATATACATATACCTAAGTAACGAAGTATTTTCAGCAACATGTAAGGATATAGTAAGGTTGTTACACTCTCTCCTGTGGGGCTCCTCTCTTTATCGCAAGTCTATCAACAGTCCGGCGACAGTATGAACAATATGAGTCTATAGTCTCGTTATTAACAATTATATGATTGTACGTACAAAATGTGACAACTTGTACAGACCACCGTGTTTAAATGTATATATACATACATATCGATGTAGCATGACCGTTTCGAATTGCATCTTACTGGTATTAATCGCAATGTTTCCTTTCTTTCAAAGACCGTGTAGAAAGTACGCGTCTTCTCTCTTTCGCCCTACTTCGTCGAAGTCGAGGGATCAGGAGTGAGAGCCAATATAACTGTATATAAACCCGTAAACACTGACAATCCTACAACTATGCTTTGCTTTCGTCCGTACGGATACGGAGTTAAGTGTCCGGTAGAAGAAAATAGTGAAAAAGAAACAAAAGAACACAAAAGTGACGTAGCAACAGCTCGGGCGAGATCCTCATTACATCCTTACACATTAAAAATTAGCGTTACTGAATCTTATTTTTATGCATTCAGGGCCGGCATATGTTCTCGCTTTCTTTTTCCATTTCCCGCTTTCGCTTCCAAATTCTTTTTCTTCTTTCCTTCGGTTGTTGATTTGTGAGTGTCGGCTAGAGAGTTCGAGAGGGAGGACCGGAGAATACAAGATGCGTGGATGCGAAAAGTGGTGCAACATGAGGCCTGTATCTTATGACACATTCGTAAACCGCATTATTAATAGTTTAAGACGTTTCTCGCCGTCGATAATCGCCTATCCCTTCTTTTTTTTTTAATAACCAATCATATTAGTTTGTTTTGTAAAATTTGCTTGATTCATTCAAATGCAAAAGTCAAAGAGGGAGGCGCATGGAAAGGTAATGCGAACTTTTACTACACAAAATCTTGCGAGACCACTTGTAAGCTTCCCGAGGATCCATACATCTTGCATTGGAAAACAATGCGCGTACGAGACAGTTGAAAAGTCAGGGGACAGAGGACTCATGTCTCTACTCTAATTCAATCGAATGTTTATAATATTATTACATAGGTGTATATTGGTATGTATGTGTATATGTGTTCGTGTATACAGTGTACGTGTACAATGTAAATGTAAGAGATGTTACTCGTAGGATGAATCCTGCACGCGCTCATTCACACGTAGTAGTCATTGTATGTGTGGCATGTTGGTGTAACAGCAATAAAAAAAATTAAAGACATCGTTAAGAAAAAAAATCCTTGCGAAGAGAACGGTGGGCAGAGAGGGGGAAGGAGATTGGGAATAATAGGAAGGAGGGTTGGGGAGCAGACCTCCGGGAGTTGGGAGCTGGAGAGATGGAAATTCGAACGATTACGACGACGACGACGGTGGCGATGATGAGTACCGCCGGCAACGACGACAGCGCCGTAAGAGCAGCGGCGACGACGGCGACACGCATCCTCTGCGAATTGTACGCGTCAACGAGACATACGTCCGCATCCCTACCTAGCTACAATCCCCGGTAGAGGCGCGCACATTGGATTTACGGCTTATTGTTATCGTTAAGCGGCACGGATTCCGGTTATCTCCTACTTCCTGTCGTCCTGATCGCATTCGCGGCTTATGTGACCAGTCTTGCCGCAGATGTAGCAAGTCTTCCCGCCGGCCTCGGTGCAGTTGCGAGCAATGTGGCCTGTCTTGTTGCAGTTGTAACAGCTTTGCATTGCGAAGCGTCCGGAATCATTGCCACCTTCCGGGCAGCTGCGCGCCATGTGACCAGTCTTGTTACAATTGTAACAACTCAGCTCCGGTCCCTGGTGGAAAACAGTATAAAACCTTTTGGCATCCATTTCTGCGCCACGACCATGTTCTCAACTGTGAACTCGGGACAATCGGGTGTCGCTGAAAGTAACCGTACTAACCTGTTGACAGTCTTTCGCAATATGTCCAACCCCGTTGCAGCGATAGCAAAGATCCTGATCCTCTTTACACTCGCGTGCGAAATGTCCAAATTGGTTGCATTTGAAGCATTTCTCTCGGCCACGGCCAAAGCCACCATCTCTATCTCGTCCACGATCTCCTCTGCCACCGCCTCCTCCTTGTGGGCACTCCCGTGCAAAGTGGCCCATACGGTTACATTTGTAACAAGCACTGGAACTCATTCTTTATAAATCTGTAATCATATAGCCACACACGTGTTGTTGCATAATCCTGAAATTAATTAAATTACTTTAGTTTTTTTTTTTTTTTTTTTTAATAATTTTTTTTATCAATCTATATGCCGCTTAAAATATTTTTAAATGTCGCAACAGTTCCTACCATGTGCCTCTTTATTTGTACATATTGCAACATATGTTATAATTTTACAAATAAATTAGGAGAATATACACTCGCATCGCATTACAGACGGAACAAAGTTCTCTCAATGATTATCAAATTCACACTTGGAAAGTTTCTATCGAAATACGCATATTTTATTCAAATTATTACTTTGCCCAACCACGAAAATACAATTATATATTTATTACTGAAAAAAAATCGCAGAAGCGATTTTCAAGTATTTGATGCTAAAACATCTAACTGTTCTCGCGAAAGGCGGCGAATCTGCCATATCAGCGCGCCCGCGCGCACTGCACACATATGTCTCCTAAACGCGCGAGCGCATAACGGCGAGGATGGGTATACGATACGCAGGTGAATGTGCATTTTATCGGCAAGAGAAGGCCGTGCGAACGGCGCTCGCGAGCGCAGGAAGCGCCGGCCGGAGCGTAGCGAAGCCGCACGGCAAAACCCGCGCGGCATGGCGCCGGCCGGAACGATGCGATCGAAGCGGCGCGAATAAAATGGATGCATCTTACGCATCGCGCTACAAATTTCACCGTACACAGGCACCAAAAGTAGATGGATAAGACGAAACGCCGCGCGCGGAACACGTGCGCGCCGCGAGGTGTTCGCGCGACGTCGAATGATGGCGGGCGACAAGGCGGCCAAAGGGACAGACGAGAGCGCGTGTACAACGACGACGTCGGATACGCAGCGCGATGATGCGTTCCGTCGTCGCTGATAATCAACGATATCGAAATATTCACGGTTTTTTTTACCGATGCTCTTTCGCCCGACAATATCCCTCGGATTTCACGGCGCCGTACAACGTGGCTGATCTCGATCCTCTGGTTAGTTTCTCTCTCTTTCCGTGCTCACCCCCACTTTACGCCATCGGTGTGTGCGTGTGGTACGTCGGTACGCACGCATGTACGCCGCGCGGCACAGCGCGGCGCGAAGATGGCATCCGAGACTGACGCCGCGCGCGCTACGCTTTTTTTGCACGGAGGAAAGATCGTCCGATGGCGATCGCGATGCCGTTGCTGCCGATGACAACGACGGTGACGATGATGATAACGATGACGCCGTCGTTGCAGTAGCAGCTATCGCGCATTTCGTCAAGTTCGCTACCGAAATATCTCGCGGACAATGATAGCGGCCGGTTGGCTCCGATTTTCTAGCGAGAGCAACACGCATCATCGGAAGCCTCGATTCGCGTTGCAGCGTAGGATAGGTCGCCCGAAGGTAAACCGGGAACCACGTGCCCAAGTCGCACGGCCACCGCGATGAAGAACCGCTCTCTCTCTCCGGCGGCAGAGCGGCGCGACCGTGTGCCATGCATTGTCGTACGAAAAATACGGCGTGTTCACTTACCTGCGTAGCTGGACGCCCGTTTATCAAAGAGGCTGTTACTTGCTCGTGCTGCACTGCGCGATACGATACCGCGTACGGCGACGATGGATCCACGGGAAGTGGTATTTTCCGTGGTAAAACGACCTACGCTCTCAAGCGGCTCTACGGCTCTAAGCGACCATTGACTACAAGAAGGACAGACCGGCCAATCACCGCTTTGCCAACCCGCCAAACCGTTGCAACAATGAACGCCACCTCTTTCCGTCGTCTACGACGGTGACTCGCGTGCAAATATGGGCGATTCGTCGGTTTTGCGCATTGATTGGCCGTCGCGTGTCCCGGCTTGCCACTAGCCAATCAGTTGCGAATTATACCACGCGACAGTGGTAAATTCTGCAAGGCATGTGCATAACTGGACAAAAGAGAGTTCATCGATCGCAGTTTTTGGATAAAATTTATTTATTACTTTCGGAAGACAAACTGCTCGATTTTCATGTTGGATGTCAATAAATCACGCAAGTTACGAAACTTGTAATTTTACGCGTACGACATATTGTGACTGAAAAAAATACATTGAAAATTAGAAATATCTTAAAGGTGGATTTATATTAAAAATGGAATGCTGAATTTTTTTAAGTGAATCAGAAGTCTGAGTTGTAAAAGACGAAAGCAGAACATACTGGCCACAATACTCACTGCTACTAGTTTCTGATTGGGTCGAAAGAGTTTCACCGTTCTTCATTTTGTTTTGCCGCATTCAGGTGTATTCTCCTTTACATCATATGGAGGTATCAACATTTACCCGCTTGTTTTTCCATTCCGCGTTGCTCCGCGTCCCTAACCCTGTTTAACCTTTCATCACGCACGCGAAAAATACGTATCCACGTAACGTGTGTGTGTCAACAAATTATATTGTCGATATTAAGGAAGGTTTGTACACGTGGTATCGCATTAGTAAAAGAACTTGATATATTTTATCGTAGAAATCTTGCTCTATTGATGTTATAATTGATTGTTCAAGATTGGTCACGATAATTGGTGAACAACGGATTCCGGTAGTTTGATAAAAATGATAATGGATGAAGCAATGTGCGATGAGCAAAAAACTGTGCAATTTTTTGTATCATCCGACACATATTACAGCTTCATACCACCATACTGCGTGCAGGAAAACCAGCAAGGTAATTGCGGTGATACCGGCGATGAGTATCGCTAACGCATTGCGATATTGTTATATATATATATAGAAATAGATGACGGCTACTATAATTAGAAAGCATTTATCATGTGTTTTCAGAATTAACCAGATGGAATCCGTGGCGCAATTGCCGATTGGAGGCCATCCCTTGGACCCAGCAATGGTACAATCAGCAACAGCAGCAACAGGAGGACGTCAATATGTCGTTTTGCAGGAATCGGAAGCGAAATCGGCATGATAATGACAAAGGGTGGCCTATTGAAGAGCGAAAAAAACCTCGAAGGGGTAAGAATATTCTTCTTTCGATCGTTAGCGATCTTCCACGAACACTTGATGAATTTACCATGGCCATTTTTTTCCCGCGACGTTTTGTACGTGAAATTTAAAACCTAACAGAGATTGCAATAATATTCTTTATGTTTATCCAGGGCGTAAATAAATTACATATAAAAAATAATTGAACTTGACGAGGTCTGAATTTTTAAAATAAGTAAGTTCTATTAGGCTATAAGGGATGAATAACAAGCGTTTGATTATAGTCTTATAGTCCATTAGAATTTATTGTCTATATAAAAAAATAAATATATCAGATACATTGGGTTTTTCCATGTACAGTAATACTTCATCCATGCTGTCGATGAACTTTTCACAATACGATTACCACTGCTATTAGCAATTATTTTGCTGTGAGCAACTAAAGTCGCTCTTAATACCCATAGATTGTTTCACGGAGAGCAACTATAGTTGCTCTTAGTGGTGAAAGGGTTAAACAAGATATGTCAACAAGATATGTTGGCAATTATTATTCTGTATCTATGGATTTTATAAGCCGGATACTGATGGAAGTCGGATACACAGGCACATATAAACACTCGATATTTTTACTATGGGCTTGCACATTTACATCTGACTACAGATATCCCGGCAAAAAATTTATTTTGAAGCTTAACGCATCCCGCGACCTTCTATATCATGGATAAATGGTATGCGATGGAAAGTATGGATGCTAATATGCTAATATATAATATTAATATATCATAGTGCTAATATTATTTTATAATACAATAATATTATTTTATTAATTATTGGTACTTAGCTCAAATATCTTTCTACTAGTAAATTTTACTATCTGCTAATCAAATAGATGATATAAGGTGTAAATAACAAAAGTTATTGGGTTTCCTTTTTTCAGATATGGCAACGTCTGCATTGTTTATGGTACAAGAAGCAGAAAAAGCACGTTATAAGTCAGAAACATTAGACATGGACTTAGATACCGATACTGCCAATTGTACAACTTTGGAACAATTTTCAACGACAAAAGAGAATTGGGCAGCAGGTAGTCCTGGCTTAGATAAAGTAGATAAACACTTATTGTCAAGTGGAGATGTAAAATTAGACGAAAGCAACAAAGACTATGAAAAATTGTTGTTCACCACTCATGGGTGTACCATCTATCACCATGAGCGAATACTGCTGAATAATCAGATAGACATTTGAGCTCCACCTGATTGACCACTTTTGTTTCCCTCTACTTGTGTATATATACTTATCCCTCTTTACTTTTATATATAACTTTTCTGTATTACGTATGACTGTGTGTATGATTAGAAACATTGACATATATATGACATGTGAGTCATTCCTTTGTATTCATGAAAAACAATAAATATATTTATTTTACATATTTAATAACGCAAAGTTCTCTTATTCTCTGTTTTACTTCTTATCCTTACATTAATCCCTGCATGTCTCCTTAATGGCATATGAGAGAAAACAAGCGAGAAATTCTTTTTGTTGTTGATTTATAATATATTGAAGCATAGACTGTATCTATTAGGTACCGCGGAAAGTTCGTGTCGTTTTTCCCGATGAACGACATCTCTTAGAAAAACGACACGAACTTTCCGCGGTACCTAATACAAATAAAAATTTGTAAAAACTCAAATACTAGAAAAATGGTTTCAATAAATTCAAATTGAATCCTGTCGAAACATATTTTAAGGTTTCTCTAGATGGAACCTAAAAGAAAATGTTCAAAAATATCGAGTCTGAAGATTATTAAGTAGAGAAAATAAAATGCAAAACATTTCAAAAAGATTATCTTGTGCATCTAAAAGTTAACGTATTCTTTTTCGGAAGAATAGGTAGAAAGAATAATGATAAGATATTAGATTTGTATAGAGATGTAATGAATCTTGACATATATTTTATAAATGTTAAAATATACACATGGTATACATCGTAAAATGTAATAAATTATAATAGTTTAAGTTGTTATACTAAACGTACAAAGTTTTTTACTCTAGGCAAATTTATAATTTAAATCTTGTGCGTTTTTAAACTTATATCTATATTTTAATTTTCTAATTTTTAAATGTATCACAAAGAGCAACATGTATAAGAAGTAATAATGATATTAAAAGATCTGAAATTTTTCTCACAATTTTTACTATATAAGACTTTATTTATTGACTAATGTTTTTGAAGCGCTAGTTAGCCAACATCTTATTAGAAGTCAAGATGCATCGTCATTTTTTTTATCATTGCATTTAAGTATAAATAATTATTTATATAAATATGTAATATGAGAGAGGAAAGAAAAGAGAGAGATTAATGATATAATCTAGTAAATAACTTATCAAGTTCTTCGCAATTATCCTCTGCTCTTTCATCTTCAGTTTTGTCAGCAAGGCCTTCAAGATCAGGAATAGCTGCTTCTGCAGTAATCGGATAAGATGCTGCTTCTTCTTGCCCTTCTTCGTTATCCACATCATTAGTAGAAAGCTGAAGCAGCATATAACATGTTTAGTATCAATTTGTATCATTCATTTAAATTCGAGAAATTTAAGAAAATATACTTTTTGATGAGAATTTCTTGAAGAATCAGGTCGCGATTGATCAGCTTCCGCCAAGTCCTCGTTATAAGCGGATTTGGCGTTAGAAGTGGAAGGCAGAGCATTCGCACAATCGAGTGAAAATGTGCCCTAACAATGTTGGATCATAACTTACAATTAGATAATTTTTCATATAACGTAAAGAGTTCTATAGATTTTTTATATTAATATTTACCGATATTTCCAGATGCTCTATTAATGGTACTTGAGATGAAGTTGGAGAAGAGGCCGTGTCTACATGAGATGTTGCAACCAATTCAGTCCCAGATGATTGGTTTTCCAAACAGAAGCCTAGCATTGCACCAACGTCCGAATCTTCATCGCTAGATTGGCAACTTTCACTTGGAGTTAAGTCGGACACCTCATTCTGGATAGAATTTTAATAAATATAAAAAATGCAATATTATAGTACAAAATGAACACGCATATTCTATAAGTCTGCAGATTATATACTAACCAATGGGTTATTCAGTGTTTGCGTGTCTTGTAAAGCGCGTAGTGTTCTTAACAAATGAGACCGCAATCTGTGATCCTCGCTGATGGTCTTAACTTCTTTCAAAATAATTATTAAATAATCGGGTCGCTTTTTATTTACTGCGATGAGTGAACCGATCGCCTCTTTCATCTCTGAACTGTCCGTAATAAACATTGTTTAAATTAATGCGTTTATATAATAATAAAAGAAAAAAAAACACATAATAGCAATTATTAAAATATTAATTGACACAATTTGATTGAAATAGTTATATCTGATAAATGTTAAAAATGATTCAAACCTTAGATTATTAAGAAGATTGTCATCATTTGTTGCAGATGATATCCGAAAAGAACTATGAGTTTCCTCCCAAAGATTATCGACTTGTTGAGACACCTCGTTTGCTATTATGTTACTACGAATAGTAGCATTTTCTCTGTCTTGCTGCTGTAAATTCGATGGCAATTGTAAATTCAATGAATATTGTGCTTCTGCACCAGTTAATGGCAAAGGTAAGTTGTCAGTTCCTTGTTCTCGATTTCGCTTGTCTTTTCTGGAAGAAAATAAAAAATAAAGATATATAAAGAACACATGCTAATTATCGATTTAACCATCTTTATATTACATACATTAGCGAACTGTTGACGCTACTTCCGCTTGTATTGGTTGTATTTGCAGAAGATGACGAATTTGCTATAGCCGCTGAGGATTCAGTCATAGTCTTTACATTTCCTGATAGCAAATTTTGTCGAGAATAGCTGGAAGTTAAGAAAAAACTTAGTTAAGACAAGAAGAAAAATATTTTTTAATTTATTTAAAAAATTCAGATTATAATAAAAATTAATTATTAATACATAAAACAATTTTGTTACAAAACTTGAAGTTAAAATGGTGGGGACTTTATTTGAAACCACATCTAAATCAAAGAAGAAAACTTCAACGTTAAGATAATTATTGTCACTGCATGCATTAATGTTAGTCATTAATAAAACTTTGGGTGATGGCCTATCCAATCTCGAAAAATCAATTTACATACCTATATGTTACCTACCAACAAGTGTTCCTTTCTTAGTCTTGTTTGTATTAACCACAGAGTTATATAACTGAATTATGATATAAGATATGAGCTTAAAACAAGGGTGGTGAAAAGTGATAAGTATAAGACAGAAAGTGATAAATATAGATTGTGATGTTTATTACTAGTTGTAGAATGATACATTAACTTACAGAAAAATGAAAAACGGAGGTAATCAATCTGGTAACTACGAAAAATATAAACAAATATGGAGTACAAATTTTGTAATAATTTTGTGTAGGTAATTTTACTTAATTTTTGCCAAAGTTCGTAAATTATTACTGTAGTTTAATTGACAGTTAATTCATTATTTTTCCTTTACTACAGTAATCATCTCAGATTTAATAGTAAACAGATTTTTAGAAAACCTCTTTATACACGCTGAAATAGAAAGTTAACTGTGAAAGTGTAAATATTTGATAAAATATTTATCATTTTCACAAGTTTACAACTTAAAATATAGAATAACACAAATATTGAAATCAATTTAATAAATCAGAAATAACGAAATTATTTTCATATAAGTTTACATCTTACAATATATAGAAGAACACATATATATTGAAACCAATTGAATAAATCAGAAATGACGAAACATATAATCATCAACTTATGAGTCAATTTCTTTACCTTCGAAAATTGTCCCAGTAGTTGTTCGCTCTATTACCAGGAGGTACTTGATTGTTCAATTGCTGCTGTTGCTGCTGCGAATTAGATGTAACTATCGGAGTGTGCGATAATGCTGCTGAAGAATTAGGTAGAGACACAAGATTCGGCAAGGACGAACTGGGCGGTAAAGTTGCGTCCAACGTGTCGCCGAGATTGTGAACATTGCGACTCAAATTCGAGTATTCCTCTTGATTTTCAATATTATTGGCGCGCTGCGGAGTCTGATTTTGCGATCTCGTTTGTAACTGCAGCTGAGTAATTGCGGTGCGCATGGATTGCAGCTCGCGTTGTTGCGCCCACAAAAGCTGACAACAGTGGTGCAGCGTTGTACCCATCATTTGCAATTGTTGAGCTTGTGAACCTAATAATAACTGCCGATAAAATTCGACCGAACCTACAAAACGAAACGAAACGTATAAGCATCGTTTTATTTCTCAAACTTTTAAAGTTTCAAGATATTGTTATCAATACTTTACCTGGTTGTCCTTGATTCATAGTTGGAGGTGGCACAGGACAGGCCCACCAATTTCCGTTAAATCCACCATTTTCAGCAGCGATGGTTTGTGGACCAATGTCCAATAAATTTTCCGACGTAGATATACCGTCTACACTGTGCTCGTTAGAATCTCCTGCACCTGTACGAAACACGTATTATACAACAATGCATTACTTAATGTTATCGTGATATATAGTGATAACACTTGCCTGCAGCTGCAGAAGCCGGCCAGATGTTTGCAGGTGTACTAGTGTGACTAGCTTGAGAACCAGAACTTTTTTGACTATTTTGATCCGGCGCTTGAATATCTCGATTCACATTGGAGGATTGCGCTTGTTCCTATTTTTATAAATGTATAATTATATGATTGTGTAAAAAATATATATGTAATATAAAATTTCTCTTTCATAAGGTTTTATAAGAAACCTTTTTTATAAGATCTTCCAGTTGGCGTCTTTTCGCTTGTATGGGCTGAGTCTCTGTACTGACATTATTACTCTGCTTCTTCTCGCCTGCATTTAAAGGTATAAGCGCTGGAGGCGGACTGGAAGATGAGAAGGAAGACGAAGAAGTAGGATGGGCAGCTGCGGATAATGGTTGTTTTAAACGTTGCAATTCGGCTCGCGTGGCTTGAAGCAAGACAGATTGTTCTTTAAGCTCTCGTGTCACATTCTAGAAAAAAGACAAGTATTACAATTTACGATATGTTACAATTATATACAATTTCAGATATATTATGATTATTGTTATCACCTGTATATCTTCAAGTGTCGGTATAGAATTTCGAAACTTTCCATGACCGATGTCGTCACCGTCGCTTCGGCATTCGAATGAGATGTTTGACACATCTTCAGTAATCATATCTACTGCACTTTCTCCGTTCACGTCCATATCTTGCTCAGGTTCGGAAGTTGAATCTACAGAGTCGCGAATTCTTACGCCATCTTCCATTAGAGCCTTTATATGCGCAAGCTGTGCTTTCATCGCTTCTAATTCTGCGGCTTTATCTCTTATTGTGTTTCTTGAGCCTTCGGAACTCTAAATTAAAACAAATAAAAATGAATAACAAATACTATAAACTTATTTACAAAGTGTAGACGGAGAAAAGGGGAGAAAAAAAAATAAATATATGTCACAAATATAAAACACATACGATGCTTCGTATAGCATACTAGTAAGATTAGGAGAATGACACAGTTGAAAAAGGTAACCTTAATATTGCCAAATGTCCGATATTGTATATTATTTGTGTAACATGAGTCAAAAATATATTGCATATTTTTCTTAAAGTAGTATCGATATTATGATAAATAAAAAGGAATATTTATGTATTAAATTTATAAGAGATATGTAAGAATATATAAGAATTATGGAAGAAATTTCATATTTGCGAGATATTTATTCTTTTGATTCTCTATTATTGTATTGAATAAAAAATAAAACTAACACAACTGCCTCTATCGGATGATTCTATGGCTTGTAGTTCCGCTACCAAGTGATCCATGTGCTTTTTCTTTGTCTGAAGTTGCGCTAACTTTCCTCTAAGAACCGCTGTTTCCGACTCAAGTTGCTCAACATTAGCAGGACCTGTTGAAGGTGCGCGGTTGCTTTCCCATGTAGCAGTATTCGATGTATTTTGATTTTCTTGTTGCAAAAGTATTTGTTGAGCTTGACGCGCCTCGTTTAATCTTTCTCTGACGCGTATCTGCATGCCCACTAAGCTAGCTTGATGTTCTTGTAATTGTGCGAGCTTGGTCTGATATTCTTCCATATTCCTCCGTAAGTGCATCTCTCTACCAGCATCGCCGCCTTCATCAACGTCTTCTCTTCCGTTTTCACCGTTCTATAGAAAAGAAGGTATTTATCTTTCTAAAATCGATCTATGATCGGTGACTTAGTAAATTATCAAATAAGAATAACCTCATCAGAAATTTCGTGATTATGATATTGTTCCAATAATTTAGACAGCTTTATCTCACTATCGTGCAGATCCTCCACCAGTCTAGTTAATTTTTCATGCTGGGCTTGTGCGCGCTACATAATATTTGTGATTAATATATGGCAAGATAGTCTCTATGTTATTGTTGCACATAAATAATACTTACAGGATCGGAAGACTGACTGAGAGAATCCATCATTGTTGCAGTGGATCTAATATAGTCCCTGATCTGGTTTAAGCGGCTTTCTACTTGACTTCTGTCAGGCTTGAGAAAATATAAGATAAGCAAGTATAAGAGAAGCAAGAGTATATAAAATTAAAATTATAAAACACACAAAATTATTTACAAAAAAGAAGATATCAAGATACAGTTAATGTTGCATAATACCATTTTATTCACGTTAGAAGGTTTGGTGCCTGATTGCATTCGTGGTGGTGATTGAGTTCTAGGGTCAGTAGGCAGCACCATTTTTGGCCAAGATATGTATTCTTCTGGAGTGTAATTGCACTGCCTTCCTGAGCTGTGTGATGCTGCAATAATGAATCAAATTACAAACAATGTTTACAAGTGAAAAATATAGATAGAATTAAACTCACAACAGTCGGATAAATCTTGGTATGTAGGAAAGTATGAGCAAAATGGTAAAGAGGAAGCTGATCTTGTGTTACTATTCTTTGCTGCTCTTGATGCTCTTGGTTCACGTTCACGCTCGTTCAGTGACTGCCACTCCAGTTGAAACTATACAAATTTCTTTTTTAAGAATACTTTCACAGAGAAAATAAAATATAAGATAAAATAAAAGTTTATACGACAGAACAATGTACAGGCAGCTCTACAGTACAAATGTGGATTCACCTCTATGGGTATGTATATTCTTAGAGTAAGAAACGCCCCACCATTTTATTATCTATTAATAGACTGAATTCGACACTGCTAGGAGTGGCTTAACAGCATATTTCTGTCAGTAGATTTCAAATTGTCTTAAACCATTAAATATCATTTAAATATTGAATCAATTCACAATTCAAATTGTCTTGGACCACTAAATATCTTTTAAATATTAAATCAATTCACAATTCATTTTATCTCTATTACAGTTATTTTTTATCATTATATTTATATAATTTTTCAGCAAGTACTTTTTAATATCAAAAATTAATTGTATCAAATATTGAGTTTTAATTATCTATAAATTAATATATGTAATAACAACCTTTATTTTAATGAATAAAACTAATTTTAAAAATGCTATAAAGTGTTGTATTTTTTTCTAGTGAGTCAGACATTTCAGTTTGCTTAATAAAATAAAAAAAGGATAAAGAAGAAAAGTTGCTGCTTGTTAAATTTACCAAATTGTTACAATACTGTTCCTGGCTATGAGACATCAAACGATTTGCGATCTGGTGCTGAACGGACTGTTCTCGGTTTCTATCGTTTCTGCGATTGTTTTTCGGCAAGGTGCCCGTGTTGCGGGGACCATCGCCGTTAATTCCGGGCGACATCGTTGTTTTCTTGCCGCTCGTGTACGGCTTTCACCAACGGATATAAATTACGCACACTCGATTCCGTAACTCGTAGTAGCGCGTACTAACCTCAAAGCAACGATCACGATAATCACACGTCTAAACACGTATCTTATTTACCTGGAAATGACACGAGAGAGTAGGCGAGACTTTCGCGAGCGGCACGAAATTCTTACGTTTCAACGAACGACAAAGCGAGATCAGCACGACATGCGATCTCGCGATTCTCGCAATAAGTGCATTTCGGTAATGCGAAATCGCATTCGACTGACGTCTTACGTCAAAATACTTGGCAAACCAATTGAAAGAATAAGATGTGTACTATAAATAAGACAGGCCATTGACGTATTAACTGCGATGATTGCGATGACACTATCCGCCGTAACTTTAACAGCAATCGTAACGTTTTCTAACAAACCAATACTGCGGCCATTTTTAAATGCTACTCAACTTCTGCATTGTGTCTGCAGACTTCTGATATCATATTTTTTTTGGAAAAGTGTTTATTAATGACGCTCACACATTGAGATACAATAGATGTTTTATATTATATCGATATGATGCAAAGTTTGTTACTTTCTGCAATAATAATAAAATGATGTACACTCTAATCTTGTATACTCTATGTTATTATTCATTTTATTTTATTTTATTTATTTTACATTTGAATTGAAAATTAGAAAAACAAAAATATTTTTTAAATTTAAATTACGAATAATAAATAAATTTTTGTGTTTACGAAGTTTTTCAATAACATATAATTAATATATAATTGCGCGCTCTAAGAATAACTTCCAACGTGTGAAAACTTATTTCGCAAATTAATTAAAAAGTGAAATTTTTCCTTGAAAAATGCGTACTGACAGTCAAGTCATATTTTGCGCCATTATACGGAAAAGCGGTTTTATACATTGGAATTGAAACTGATTCTCCAAAGAAAACGATGCAGCGAGTTATTTGTTGTTGTTGTTTGCTGTTTCCTTTTTTTTGTACGTCACTTGTAAGGATATGCATAAGGAATTGACGGACAGTCAATTTTCATATGGTTCTTTTTATGGACCAGTACTTATGCGTCTACGCAAGTTTATCTGCTGGATAATATCGGTGCCAAATATATCTGTAGCACAGTATGATATCATTGAATATCTGCTGCAATCAATCGACAATTGCTGCCATCTGATGGAAATCTCGTGATTTCGTCGACGCGGGCGAACGGTGACATTTCCCGCTTATGGCTCGAGGAGTTAATAATAAATGTCCGCGCTAGCGCGTAGCATCGCGATGCCGAGGCGGCCTGTCTTTGAGGTACAGTCTCTAGCGAGACATATCTCCGACTCCGACTATGACGAGCAGCGCGCTTCGGCGCGAGCCTCGGTGAGCGCTCGCTTGTAACGCGCGACTCCCGAAAGTCCGCAGTTCGCCGGGAATCGCGCCTGAATTGCGCGCGCGTCAGGCATCATCGTACGCGCGATTCGAACGAACAAGTAGGAGCGGAAACGTTCCCCTGTCATTTTCACCGTCGTCCCTATCGTACAACACCACTTGTCAATCGTACGCGCGTTTTCCTCATGCGACCAGGTCCGTCGCTCGCGCGGTTCGCGAAACGGCGGCCCGTAGACGCGCGGATGTGAAGGAGACGCGCGCGCCCGCTTGCGTGTCATGCGTGCGTGCGTGCGTGACGTTTCCTTGGAGTTCGCGCGGATTTATCTCCCGACGCCGTGAGATGCTGACAAGCTGGCAGCATGCGTGTGACGGCATAGTCAATGTGGCGGACACGCGACCACGCACGGGTGAGTGTTTGTACATTCTGTCTCTCTCTGTTTTGCCCCGTTTCGCGCATATGTGTGTGCACCGCGCGATGGGATTTGAGGTTAGGATGCGAGATGTATCAAGTGCACAGAACAGGGCGAAGGGCGTCCCGTGTAGGAACGCATGTCTTGTCAGACCATTCGTTATTTACGACATGAAAGTTGGAGATGGATTCAAAGTTGTTGCGGCCGTAAGCTGCGACACGAACGACTTGCCAAATAACAAGTGTCGCTTCAAGCTTTTTTAAAGAGAGAGATGATTTTCTTAAATTATTTTTTATGTATCATAAAGTTGTAAGTTATGAAATTATGATTTGATTCCATTTTTTTTTTATAACTCGCATTCAGTGCGCATTTCAACACATTGCTTTAAATTGTACGTTCATATTAAGTTACAACTGCTAGTAATCCTCCGAGTTCGCGATAAGAGTTCTCTTAGAATAACATGACTTTTCTACTTTCTCTGCTGAACACGGTTCATTTTTCACTGGAACATATGCTAACTAGTGAACGCTCTTATAAATATTTATTAGGCATTATCCTTGACATTCTCGCCGTGCTTTAAAACAGTTTATGCGTTCTCCATGACGTCACGAATAGATTTCGTATTATGCATATTTAGTTGTGATGCATCGGGAATAATACTTCGGAATAATTTAGCGGAAAATGCGTTTATTTCTTTCTCTAGAACTTTAACTGAGAGACGTGTATCTACTTGCGTGTATACATTACACGTGTCAGCTGACTTTACACTTGTGCACCAAACTGTCGCGTTCTATATATAGTTGAAATCGAACGGGAATATAAGTTTAACTTTATTTCTTTAAGAACTTGAATAAATTATTGCTATGCGCGATTAATATTAAAGAAGTTAAATATACACGTAGCGAAAAATGTGTATATAGGGGACACGGAAATTACTTTAATTTGTAAAATTTACGTAATTTACGTCGACGATAACAATTAAAAAGCAATCTTTTTTAATTAATTAAACAGTTGCGATTTAAAAATTTTATTCTGTGATACTTTCTCCGTAAAATTGTAAACGTTTAAGGGTTAGTCCTCTCTCTTTTGCAACAATCTTTTCAATCTCGCAATTCAGTTGTCTCGAGCACTTTGCGGGCGATAAATTTTGATAATAAATTTATCGTGTGTACTCGGATATTGACAGAGATATTCGGTATTGATAGAAGACACATCGAGAAAGAAATACTCTATCAGTATTGCGCGTAAATGTCTCGTCAACAATTTCGCCTGAATATTCGTGGTATTTTCTCGCGACTTTTGCCGAAAGCGTAACGCCAGCGGCAACTGACTACTTGTTGCATAATGCATCGATTTCCGTGACCTGGCGCACCGTTGCAGCGTCTTTGTGCAGCTCGGTGTACGCAAGTACAGCCGGGCACATACTTAAATTAAATGTATGCAATATCGCTGTCTTTCAGTCCGCATTGAACACCGCAAATATCGGACGTGTTTCTCTCCAAAGCTCCAATAATTTATTGTATCGTTTACAAGCGAGAAATAAAGTCTTTGCAGCGCAATCAATGAACAGATGGCATTTAATTATACAGGATATTTCAGATTCATAGCTCGGAGGAATTATCAATGTCTTTATTCAGCGTCTCGAATTTATCGGCTGCCATTAACTTTATGTTCATTTGAATGAGAACAAAGCGGCAATTTTATCCACGTAAATAATTTCTTTCGACACTTTATCGATACGAAGTATTACCGATACTTTTTCCCGCATGACAATTTTTAAGCACATAACGGCGCGTATCGATGAAGTCACTGCATCGTCGTTTCTTTCATTCAGAAGCCTAAATCCACGGCCTTCAAGAACTACACCCTGTATGATCGATAATATAACGGCCGTGTTAAATCCGGAATACCGTGCAACTCACGCTATACACCGCTTCGTACGCTAAACGTGCTTAGCGTGAAATTTGTTTCTGCAGAAAAATCTAAGCCGATTGCATTCTTCTTGGGAAATTGAGATAACAGCGCGGAATATTCATTTTAATTTAATGTCTTACACATATAATGAGACGCTATATAACGTAATCACGAGCGTTATCGAGTATGTATTTTGATCGCGATTGTAAATTCCCTTAATCTCTCTTTCTTAATCTCTTGATCGTTTTTATGTGTTGTTCGAGTTATTTGTGAAATTTATCGTCAAATGAAATTACCGATCTGAATCACTCGATATTTTTGCAAGTCATTTGGCCTGATTTTTTGAACCTTGAAAGAAGCGAAAATATAACGTTTATACAGTTAATATAATTATACAGTTTTTACCTGTCTTGTTTCGTCGCGTTAAACCTCAATCAATTAATTCGTCTGTATCAGAATTACAATTTCTTTACTTTTCCAAGTTTCATGCTTGATTATACTGACTTATAATTGTTATCTCGACGTGGGTGTACGATCTGATCTTGGATTAGTTAGAAATGTTTCACATATGTACATCGCTTTCATGGCAATGAAATGGCTAGTGTGTCGTATGAATTAATTAACTTTTTTTGTCGTCCTATTCATAGCGTATTTTTAATTCTGAGATCATACGATGGGGATGGGGGTCTTTCTCTTGCGTGAGCTGAACGTCATACGTTTCAATTTTGTTGGTTTATTTTTGTGAAGAATGGGAGCGGTCATTATGACATATTCCATGAATCCACGCCAATGTCATACTTATCTATATCCGCACGTTATCTCGCTTGTTAAAAATTTATGTAGAAAGATAATTGAAGGGTTTGCTTCCAAGAAGGCGTGTAAATATATTCATCCTCATAACAAATTAATTTCTATTTAAAATTGCGATATTGAACATAAAAATACATAGAGAAATCTGGAGGAAAGGAAACCTTGGCATTAATAACGATTGTTAATTATTTTCCTCAAAATTATGAGATTTATATTAAATTTTAAAATATATTGTGTTAAATGTGAATTATATTGTTAACACAATTTGAATTGTGTTCATTGCAATTAAAGAGTTTTAATTGCAATTAACATTGCAATTAATTAATTAGAAATCTTTAATTGCTTCTTCGACAGAGCAAATGATATATTGCGAGTAACAAGTGTCGACGGCGTTCGGTGCGCTCTAAATTCGATTTCTCACGCGAATGAAGTATTCAGTGTTTGCAGAATTAAATCCGGCCTCCCTCGTAGTTCTATTCACACAACGTATTGCTCGGCGTTGCCACTCGTGTCCAATCTGTTCCCAGGTAATCCTTGGTTATCTGAATTGGCAATTAAAATGTTTTATGAGTGCCAGCTTGAGAAATACGCTTCGCCGAGCTCTCGGCACGCGCGAAAAGAAAGCTAATTTACAAAGTCAAGTGTATCAATTTTCTCGGGAAAGCCCGTGAGAACCATAAACGTGCACTTTCGATATAAATTAATTAAATAGCTATAAGAAGTGAATCGATTAAATGAACCTAATAAGTACACTAAATCCGTGGTATCGTAATATTGTTTTTTTATACGACGAAATTATATCATTTTTGAAGCATGTTTGAGTATTTGTTAGTAATCGTGATAATCTCACACATGTGGATGACACTGTGTGCCATACTTTTTTCGATTTACGCCATACAGGACGCTCCTCGGCGGAAAAAAAACATTTTTTCTATAAAGAATAACGACAACTGATAATCATCGGGCTATATAGTGATGTCAACAACTGCTTTTCATTAGCCGGCCACAGAGATAGCTAAAAAGATAGATGATATATAATCTGACCGGACAGGAAGGCGAATTGTACCGGGGAATTTTGTGTGGTTTAGCGGGGTGCGGCTGACGCTTGACCCAAATCTTCCATAAAAGCTTCCTGTGTCATCATCTACGTGGAATGTTAAAAAAACCGCTGGATTTACACGCACGAATACCGTCCGTGACGAATAACGTGTCTCGAGTCGTGTCACGCGAGTCTCGAGTCGTTGAATTTAGATTCGCGGACTGCTCGGAAATAATACGCGAGTAGTAAAGACGTGTTGCGCGACGGCGGCTTACATAATCGTACGGCCCAAGTTTCGTGAGTGCGACTGTCTGTTGTGTTGTGTACGAATTTGCATATCGAACAAGCCTTTGCTTTCCACCTCGCGATCGACGAAAGTGTACTACCGTTTGATCGTTCCATTCTTGACGGACAACGTCTGCCCGAGAGCTGTGTATGTAATATTCTTGCGGAAGATTATTGTTCAAAATGAAATATATTATTGTGGAGTACAAAGATTCAACAGGGCAATTAATATCTGTGGATAATTATATTTGTGGGGAGGAGTATAGCCGAAGAATTCGTCATTAATTCGCGAAATCGTCCCGATTAACGATCATTCGTTCTGGAGTAGCGATTCTTTATACAAGACTAATTTCGTTCCCCCGACTCGTCCTCGTAATAGCAAAGGTCATGCGGCCTCATTTCGAGGAAGGGTGTGGCATTCCGTGCGGCCTATCGATAGATTCACGTCATTATCAATCGCAAACACGTGCACTGCACAGTACACACCTTTCCGCATACATAATCAACGTTTCGCGCGACACGATGAAGTCGATGGTCGTGCCTTTGTCCCATCCAGTATATTAAAACAAACTTTTTTTAAATTAACATTTGCCGAGTTTTGACAAATACGGAAATATAAAATATTTGTCAAGACACAAAACTCACGAAAGCTGTAATAAAATTTGCGACAGTCCGGAAATCAAGATGGCACCTTTAGCATTTGATACGTGAGCGGACTGCTGGTTGTCATTACGTTGTGGCGTTGAAAATAATAAAAAAAAAATTGCGCTCTAATCATTTCTTCGTTATACATCGCGTTTTCCGTGTCACGCTAATTACATCGACTCATTAGTGGCGCGTCGGGCGACAACGTGACGGGGGCACGGAAGTAGTAATTTTACGATAGGTCGCCTCGATAGGTTGGGCAAGCTGGAGAGACAACTGGTTATGCCGATGGAAACACGCGAAAGGGCATCACTCTCGGGAGCCGACATTTCCGACAAGTGGAGTTTGCAGAGTATAATGCTCTTTTTAGAAAGGGGACACACGTTTTAATGACTCACTTGCCTCCTTTGACGGAAGGACATTCCGTCATAATGCATCCGCGATGATATGACGCATGGGTTGCGGGCTTCATTATCAACTCGATAAAATTCAATTATTCAACGTCTCTTTACCACTGACGATTCTGGCGATGGCCTTGTCGCGAAAGGAGCATCGTCGATACTATCGACCATTTTGCACTCTATCATCATGCTATCCGCCTGCCTCATATTGTATCTGCGTTATTGATGATTCGTTCGCGGACACATACTTTTCTCCCTGCCGCGGGAATGATTGCGAGTCTTCGGGAAGTAACATGTGCACCCAATTTGCCTCTTATGATTACGCTTACTTATGTATCTTAAGATAGCGCATGATTACCGCAAAGTAGACAGCTGCCATTTTCTGTTCAATTTGTAAATGATTATAGTTCTCGAAGTCATAGCTTAACTATTTTACTGCTAGCTCTACTAAGTGTTGCATTTAAAAATTAATTAGTGAATTCGAGCATCCAGATACGTATTAATCAGTTGCATTTTTCTTTCGGCGCGAAAATATAATATAGCAGTAAAATAATAATCTTAAATTTCATATAAAGATATGAAAAAATAAAAGAGAAAAGCTTATTGATAGTTTTACAAATTTCCATTGAAAAGCGTCGGTTAATTTTTTGAAAGAAAACGGATATATCGCTCTTTGATTGTGAAAAGATCAATAATATACAATAATGTGATAATAAGTGCTTACAACTTACGAAACGATTTACGAAATATTTCTGAACGTACGTTTTATTTGTTCAAAACAGAATTATGACTCGAATGCGAAAGGTTAATAGAACTGTACGACTTGACAATCAATGAATTTTAAGCATATCAGATCGAGAACTTACGCTACGATCGATACTTGTATCAGACGGGCGTCACTGGAGTCGCGCATTCAATCACGGTGATAGGAATAATTAAAAACTCGTAAGCCCAATTCCATTTTGAAATCAATCCTCTGAACATCGGCGAAATTGTCATTACTTAATGTGGAGAAAGACATTATCTTGCAGAGTTAATCTACGCTTTTTTCTAAACAAATAAATAGAAATATCAATATAGATTTAAAATGTTCAAACAAGATAGTATTTTCCTGTGACGCAATTGTTGCATAAAATATTATCTTGCAATGTAATTTAACATATCGTTTCTCACAATCTTGACTAAGCAAGCAAGGTGACTCGACGATTTTCTCATGATGGAAAAAAATTGTCTTTCTTGTAACAGAAAGAAAAGTTTAGTCATTCGCTCTTCTTCTGAAATTCACAATTTTTTCCCTCACTTCGAAAAGATAGGATCACTCTGAGGGATGGCCGTTCTAATCGAAGGCCTACCTTTCGAAGACAGCCGCGGGAATTCGCGACAGTCTCGATACAACCACACGAACGAACAGCCAGACAGCTAGCCAGGCCGCGCCATAGAAATCTCGATCTTATCAGGTCGAAACTTCGTGTCTTGCGTTATCGATCGGTTCGCTCGCTCGTATTGGACGTGCCTTGTCGCTATCACGTTGGATTTCTACAGTAACTCCTGGACGTTCTACGGGAAAAAACGTCCTCTCCGCTGCCTTCCGATGACATCGTTATCATTTCGATATTTACTCCGCATCCGATGATTAGAAGACCCGTATATTCCGTTGTCGCAACATTATTAATATAAACAGGGCTCCTTTCTCACACCGATAATTCATAAAAATTCGCGGAAAGAATCGAATCAATGCGACCTGCGTACGTGAGTGCAGTTTTACTCGTAGTGTCGACTAACGCATCGATGCAACGATCGCATGTTTTTCTGCAGTGATAAGCAAATGTGTCTTTTTGCTGATTGTAGCAGAAATGCGTGGTTTTTATTTCTTTGACTATTTTTCGCAAAAGTTTTTCGTGTAATGTCTACTGCGAATGTATATTACAGTTATTGATGCGTGAACTTGAAATAAGCTCTAATAGGCTTAAATGGACTTAATAGATCATACTTCTTTCCAAGTTGCATCTCGTTGGAACTACAGTTGAAGCTGAAATTCAAAGAGTGGTCAGCATTTTAAGTCGCAGTTCTTCGAAAATAATTAAAAGGAAAGAGGAAAAAGTCGAACTGATCTAATTATACGTTTGGAAAAAAGTATTTTGAAACTTATTGATATTTTTTAAAGCTATTAACAACATCTATATTGCTAAATACAGACTTTATGTAACTTTCTCAAGAAAGACTCCGCAAAGTTTTCTTCTTTTGATCGTAAAAGTTCAGCAATCTTCCGACGTAAATAGAGACTCGGTCGTTCGTCTGACCACTTTCTTGCTTTTACTACTGAATGATAACCGTCTTCACATTAATTTACATATACTTATCTTATCTACGAGGCGCTCTTGTAAAAAAATAAACTTCCATTTATCAAATCATCGAAAATCTATCTCTCGCATTGTTTTTGTTATCATTTCGATAACGAAGTGATTCGATTAGTTTTGTATTCTTATTCGTTTCATTGTGTGTGCGCGGATTGCGTCGAGGTATGTCAAGTATCTAAGAAGACAGTGCTCCCAGACATCGCGCGGCTTGTTTAGGTTAGCTGTTCTGGCAAACCTTCCGGGCGATGAATTATTGGCGAAGTCTGTCGCGGATCAACGATAAGACGAGGCAGTAGGTCTGACGAGCCAAGACGTGGAAGCGATCGAAGCTTGAAAACGAGGTTCAAGAATCAGCCTCGGACGACGCGTTTAACAGTAGTGAGTAATCCATCGTCACGATACAGCGATGATCTATAATCTATAATCTTTTCAATGGTACGATTTACGCTTACATTGTGTAGATCTGCTAAAAATACACGCCACGCAATTTACGTAACCGGGGAATCTGGTTTGTAATCAGGGACAAGTGTTTCCACGCTGACGTGTGTGCAATTGAAAACGGGCCCGTCAAAACGTCCGTCTGTCAAAATAAGCTCCAAATTTACCTACATGCGAGAAGGACACACCTGCAAAATTAATCCAAGCGTTCCATTCACGCCCTGTATATTTCCTCATGTCACTCACACAGTGAAACGCCGTGTACAGAAAAAACGAGGGACGACCCAGTTATCGCGGCTTAGCGAGTGGTTAAACATTTGCCTTCGCAAATTGCAAATATTTTGTCGCTGTGATATTTTCCGCTCTTGTTCCACATTCGTCTGTCCGCGTGCTCGCTCAAATACTTCATCACGATTGCTTATTAAATGGAAATAGCAGCGTGCGGTCAGGCGGAAGAGACGCACGTATGACAGCACGCGTCCTTCTAGTATCATCTTCTAATTTCAACGCGCGTAATCGCGCGCGAGATATCTTCGCATCGCAGAAAAACAGGTCTTACGTAATGACTTTAACTCTTATTGCGCCCCACGAAGATTTCTTATCGTCATTATTGCGGGAAAATGTGCGCCTGGGTGACTGGGGAAATGTGCGCGCGATCGATCTCGCGTCTCGTTATGGTTGAAAAACAAACTCATATTCCTGGAGGGCACATTACTTCTTGTACTTTCATTAATGAAGCACACAGTATACAGGGTCACTCAATTAAGCACTCGTTACGCACTCGTCGTCGATCACGATGATCTCCCGTCTACATCCCGTTTCGCTAGAACGGTTCTGTTTACGTTTTTAGAAGCCAAGTACACATATATGTATATTTATGTACCCTCATAAGTTATCTGCATGATTGCGACCGCAAATGTATTATCGTTGAGTACCGTTTACCATTACCGTCGAGCATGAGTCATCAGTGTCACTTGTATCGTCAAGCGACAGTAATTCTATGACAAACGCGATGCGCAACGTGTATTTTTACGTTTGTTGATGTTGAAGACGAACGGCAAAAATTCCATGGCAGGGCTAATTCAATTCAAATATGAGTTATCTCGTAATTGATTGTGTATCTTGAGCGAGAAAATTTGAAAAGTAATTTCTTAAATTATATTTTGCTTTGAATGTTATAATACGGAGAAAATACTCTGAAAATATTGTAAACATGCTAAATCTTTTAATTAAAAAATAAGAGATACTGCAACGGAAAGAGCTAATGCAACTTTTGGCGTAAGCTTGGAATTCTTGCGTTTCTGCAGAATATATATATATATATATACATACTTTAGCTCGCTGTGTGACTCAGCAATCTCACTTCGGTTGCCAATTCTGACCAATTCAGGGCAAATCACATCGCCAAGGCTCAATTAGTTTTATCTTGTCAAGGCGAAGCGTGTTTCTAAGAAAGGTACTATGGCATATTACGTGATGTGTCCGATTAAACAATCGCAGGTGAATGAACCGTGACGTATACATTGTGAAAGACCGGCGAGTACGATTTCTTTCAAGGTTGTCGGATATTCTATATACAGTGCTATCGTTATGCTGTTGTTGCATTTGTTTTGCTTGACTACGTACACATCTGCATATCATTGTGCAGGAATATCATCGTCGCATACTTAATTAAAGCTGACTCAAGTATCTGATTTCACCGTAACGGTACGAGATACGCCGAGGAGTGTGAGAAGCGGAAAAAGAAAACAATTAGCTGTATCGATGTTAATTAAGGAACTGAGGAACTTGCAGCTCGATGAATTTACATCGAAATCGAGTCTTTGAAACAATAATTTTTGTTCGCGCTTATTAATTCTTCTCTATTGCTGAAATTCAGATTCCATTACGCCTTCATGCACTTCCGCATATCGGCGGGGTGACGAAGTAAGGTCGCGAAAAGTAAGTCGGTCGGCGTTGCTATTTGTTCCAGGCGCCGGCACAGTCAATGCAACCCACTGCCAGGAGGAACCCCCGGGTTCCCAGTCCTGGCCCGTTGCGACCGTTCACACCGCCGGACCTCTCTTCCATACCTCATATGGATGGCACACCTCTGCACAACAGCAACGACAACAGCAGCGAGAACAGTGCTCGTAACAATGCGTCACCCGCGAGCAATCGAGCAAACGACGGCGCACAACAGGAGACCACCGGGCCCTTCATCATCGGCAGTCCCATCGATCTCGGGGACATCGACAATGTCGACAACATCGGCCTCCGTTTGGATCCCGTTACACGCAACAGCAGTAGGCGGAGAGCGCGGGAGCACATCGAGCTTCAGGAAACTGGCTCGCCGGAATCAACTTCCGAGGGTGAGTAGATTAAATTGATTCATTGAAGGGATTAAACGTAATTCAGAAAAAAAATTCTTGTAATTGGTATAAGCGAACGGCAAATATTCCGTGACGTGATAAATAAAGCAATAAATATGGTAGGTGATGCGATTATATCATTGATAAAATATAGTGTTTAAATGGATTATTCGCTTTTCATTTATTACCTATATACATTCCGTCCTTTCTATTCTCTCTCTTTCATTTATGACTACATATTTATTGCTAATTAAAGTTCCGTCAGACTTCACTTTGAGATGAACGACGGTTAAATGTTCAATTTTAATGGCTTATACTTGGAAGTTATTAGCGTTCTGATATTTTTCCTAATAACTTCGAGGTTCTAACTTTTACAAGGAACAAAATGAAGTGTCCATTTAGAAGTTTCTTTCCTTAATTAAAAAATGTTTATCTTTGTACGAAAGCCATCTCTCTTTCCGGAGACGATAAAGAAAAAAAAAACAGACTGCGGTTCATAAGAGTGATGGTATTCGTCGGCGCCGCCGCTCGTAGCGGATAGAGCCACCCCGTCGGCGCGTCGCGGCGTGTCCTTGGCCTATCGATAGGCGTTTATATAGTCGTCACGCCATCGCGCGCCTTCTCCACGCTCCCTCCGGGGCGCAGCCGTTATTGTTTGCTCCGGGCACGGTTGGTGCTGACACCAACTTGTTGCCGTCAATGGGCGCATGCTCCTTCGTAATGGAGCACGTGAACACGGTTGACGCATTCGTCGGGTCACCCCTCGAGCAGTGCCGCATCGGCAGCAAATAGAAAAATAATTTAAATGAGAAGCTCCACGGAGATGGCCGGATCGCCAGAGGAACCGCGACAATGCATTCCTTCTTCCGAAATGTTCTTCAACGTCCTCGCGGATCGCGGAAAGTTGTCCCGATTTTATACTTACAGCTACTCTATTATTGAAAATTGAGATATATTCAGGATTGTCGCAGCTGCGAGCTCGCACCTGTCCGGGATGCAGAGCGCGATTCGAAAAGTCACGGTCGTTCAGTGCCACCTACGGGTGTGGAGAGCACCGGGGCCGCATTAAACAGATGTGAATCTGCTGCGTTGCGTCGCGCCGCATTGCGTTGCGTCGCGCTGCGTCGCGTTTCGCGGGCGGATTTTCTGGCGGCCCGATCGATGCTCCGGCGTCGCGGCGCGCGTAAACGACGCACGTGTACGCAGCTGACGACGTGTCATCGTCGGCGGCGGCAGGGGTGTGGCGTGAGAGCGGAGGCTTCTTCCGACGCGCGCGGTGACGTAAACGCTCTTATTCGGACGATCGTTATTCCAACCGGGAGAGAGAGAGCGGACCGCGTACTGTAACGTCGCGCGGTGCTGTCCAGAAAATTGTGTGCGAAGGCGAGTGTGTGCGAGAAACATTTCCGCTTCGTACGACGGGCAAAGGTGCGAAAAAGATTGATTGCCGGGTGGCCGGATGTGCTACAGACCTGGCCTTCTCTCCTTGAGAGAGGGCTCGTTCGATCGATCGCCGGACGAGACGTGCCCGATTCACGCATATTTGGCCAGGATTTTAGCTTTTAGGCAGCGTGCTATCTTTTTTATAGATTAAATTCTCGTGTAAAATCTGAAAAAGATTATAAGTTGAGAAGCTGGATGCTATTTTCGCGTCTCTTTCATAGGAAATAAATATCTGAAATCCGTGGAACGAGCGATTATGCTGATTGTTTCTCGATTTAATTAAGCTGCCAAGTTGATACGCGAATGCCAATAATCGTGCAGATCACATAAAAAAAAGTAAGAATAATAGTTATGCGATTTTTAGGAAGGATTGAAATTTTTGCCAAAACCGAATAGGAATGAAACCCTCGCTTTATAAATAATTTCGCCGTTCTTGCCGCTTGTGACACAAATTTTCCGTAGCTTGATGTGTGTTCGTGTGTTCATATATAACACTGTCATAACATTTGGATTTATAATGAATCGAGAAAATTTATTGTTTGTATAAACAAAATTGTAATATTGCTTGGAAGATTGCATGCTATTTTTAATATCAATCGTATTGCTATATTTCTTTTTTGTTAACGTAGAATAAAAGATCGCGAAGGTCTGTTTCAAATCTTCTT